ATGGTATATGGAGGGAATTATAATCAATGTAATGAAACAAGTTATATGAATTGTTGAATGTGAAACTGATGATGTGCCCTGTAAACTTTCACTCAATCTACAATAAAAACCTTAAATTATAAAAAAAAGAAGGAACCTAGATCCAGAGGACATGGGGGAAGGTAGAATCTCCACTGAGTAGTATCTAATCTGTCTGGGCGGGGCTGATGAAATGAAATTCAGACAGGTCTCTTATGATACAGTAGTGAATAATTGTTATCTGGACTGATTGTGAGGGTTGGAAATTTAAAGGTAGACTTTTTATAGCAAGGAAGAGAGTGATTAACTTTTCAGTCTAGGAGTGGTGGTCCATGGGACCATCAATGAAGGAGAGCGGAGAGCGGGACCCTATCCAGAGAAGCAGTGATCCCAAAGATGGAAGCAGAGATGATGACGTGGAGAGATGGAGCAGTTGGAGACTTTAGATCGAGAGAGGGAGAGGGGCTATGTGCTGACGACTGGGGGCAGGTTTGTAGTGTATACCTTTGGTTGGTTGATAATGCATGGAGGGGATTGTAACCATGGCAATGAAATGATATACAATAGAATGAATGTAAAACTAATGTTCTCCCACGTAAACTATCACATAATTCACAATAAAACATTTAATTTTAAAAAAAGTATGCCTAATCCAAGAATTTATTAATACTGTACACAGAATGTATTTAATTATTACCAATGAAAATCTAATGTTTCTCTTTTTTTTCTTTTTTAGTTGTCTGAAATTTCTATAACCTTGCTTTTAAGATGGTATATAGCAAGGCCTCAAACCATTTCAAAATTGTTCTTGCAAGCACTGTAGGAATGCACAGGGTCACTCCAGACCCAAGCATGCTGGAGGTTTGCATCATCCAAAATCTCTTATTTTATTAACTACTGAATTTTTCTAAGAGGACTAACAATGATTATGTCCAACTAAATGTTTCCTGTACCTGTGAATCTGGGTAATCTTCCATATTTGAATCATCATCAGAACAGCTTTCAGTATACCTTAGTAAAGAGACAGAAACAAAAATATTTTAAAGCTTTTCTTCCACATCCAAATAAAATTACTACCCAAAGCAAGAAAATATACCGATGCAAAACACAATGATAAGGGAGGCGGGGCTTGATGGCGGCTAGGGTGAAGGTGCAGTGAAGTTCGCTTAGCAGAGTCAGGACAGAGCGTCAAAACTTGGAACCACAGAGATAGGAATATTTAAAAAGTTTGAAGGCTTATAGCTAGTGGAACTTGAAGCTGAAGTAAGAAATCACGTACATTTGAATCTGCTGGGCTTGGCTCGGAAGCCCGGAGCCCACATCTTGGGAAAGACCAAACAGCAAAACCAAGCAGGAACGCAGACACACCATGGAAAAACATCACAAGAACCTTGGAGCAAAGGTAGACAATACACTTTGTCCGATTTTGCTTTGTTCTGATATTCTTTTTTTGGTATCTGGTCATTGGTCCCTCCATTATTTGCCCACCTCCATTATGATGATTAGAAGGGGTGCCTGAACAATGGACAACCCCCACCTTCACCACCGGTGAGGTAGGTTCTTCTGCCACACATGCGCACAGATACTCAGCCCAAGAGCAGGCCCTAAACGTTTTTTTTGGTTTTGTTTTGAAATACAGGAAAGGCCAGGACAGGGCTGTAGAGAGGGAAAGAGAGTTTAAAAACAAAACAGGCCAAAAATTAAATTAAAGCCTGAGGTGTAGCACAACAACCAACACTGGCATCTTGAAATCTCTCAGGCAGCTTTGAAAGCAAGACGCTGAAGAGAGGACATTAAAGTCATACTCATATTGTTATTGTTGTTGTTGTTATGTAACGTGGAGTCGGTTCCGACTCATAGCGACCTTGACCAGGGTTTCCAAGGCTGTAAATCTTTACGGGAGCAGAAAGCCTCATCTTTCTCCTACAGAACAGCTGGTAGTTTTGAACTGCTGACCTTGTGGTTCGCAGCCCAATTCATAACCACTACACTACCAGATTAGGCTACAGATTTTT